TAACTCACACATAATTACATGTAACTTGCGCATAAAAGTATGTAACTCGTGTATAACAAAATGTAACTCACACATAACAAGATGTAACTCACACATAATAACGATGTAACTTCGTATATTATCAAATGTAACTCCAAGCTAGAAGCAAAATAAACAAATTCAATATCTTAAAAACCTCTAAAAACATATAAAAGTGATAAAAAAATATATTATAGAAAAGTGTGATGGATAGTCTACCCGGGGGTATATATCCGAAGGGTTATTACGGGGAATAACTTAGAGAGAAGTCAGAGCAAGTAAGTAAAAGTAGAGAGAGAGTGTATTCAGTATGAATGACGTTTTCAGCCTGGTTACAAATGAGGAAATGGGGTGCTATTTGTAAGGAATAATTGTATTTAGATTTTGATGATGCTATATTAATTAGGACTGTAGAGTACCCCTTTAGAAATTATGTATTAGAATTTTCCCTTGTAAAATTCTTAGCATATTCGACTACCAGAAGGCCTCTCTACCAGAAGTCCTCCAGACAGAAGATCTTGGTTCTCTGTCTAGGAACAGAAAACGTCAGGGTCTCTGTTACCCTTTAGCGTGACAGAAACCCTCCTGGTTCTCTGTAAGCTACCAACAACAGAAGTGCTCATGATCTTCTCTGATTCAGTTCTCTGTTAGTAACACCAGAAGGTCTGACACTTGGAAGAAATCCACAAAGCCGGGAAGTCAACATAAAGATTCCTTCAAACGGCTAGGAGTATGAAACGGAAAAGCTAGAGTGCTCGCATTAAATGCTCATTTAATGCTCCCCATGGTCCGTGGAGTAATTGCAGATAATTGGCCGCAATGTCAGGATTACTTTATCCCAAAATAGTAACCCGCCAACTTTACCGGGTCCTACTGGTCAAGTCAACTGCTCGCGCATTAAATGCAGTTGTCCTCCTACTCCTCCAACGGGAAGACAACCTCAGTATAAAAGATACACTACGAAGAACAACCGGATAACTTTGCCATAACTTTGCTATCACATTGCTAACCAAGCAAGATATTCAAACTCTGAAAAGCAAAAGCCTCCTTGAGATTCAAACTTACTATCCTCTACAAGAGAAGGCAGAAGTCGGAAAAATACTCTTTCCTACTCAAGCAAAGTTCCAAGTGTTCTTCAACTCTTCAAGCTCTTCACATACATACATTTTGTAACGAAGCTAGTTGGAGGAACCTCTGTTTCAACAGAAACTCTTCTTGCTACAAGAAGGACGTCCGAATAACTGGAGTAGTGAAGTGGTGATACTTCAAGGAGACTCAGTGAAAGGACCAGTGTTAAAGGAAGCCAGGCAGTGCATCCCAGGACACATCTACGCTTGAAGAAGACGTGGAGTGCTTCTTAAGTGCTAGGACTAAGGCTTTGTAAACGGCAGTTTTTACAGCTTAGTGGAACAGTGGATTAGAGGAACGAGTTGTTCCTTGAACCACTATAAAAATCCCTGGTGTCGTTTACTTACTGCTTTTAATACTTGCATTTAGTTAGAACCGTTTAACTCCCTGAACTTGGTATCTGTGTTCAGCAGAACTCGTTCTACGAGTTAACAGAAGGCCTTCTGCCTTTGCTTCTCTGAGGCTAACAGAACTCCCTGCCAGAACCCCATCCGCTGCCAGTCTGTTCTCTCAACAGAACAGGCTATTCTGAAAAACTGGTACTTTGTTTTAAAAAGCTAAAAACCAATACAGTCTATTCACCCCCCCTCTAGACTGTATCCAGTATAACCGGGACCAACACTATTTATAGTAGCAATAAATGCCGGGCAGGGACACGTGTCAAGCGCTCATTGGCTGAGGGGTCACCTCAACTGGTTGGCGCTGGCAGCCGCATGTGGCCGCATTTAATGCGGCTGTTGGATGGGACGTCTATGCGGGGTACGGTGATCTGTACGCATGTGAGGCGGATATCTTGTCGAGTGAGATGCCTTCGGCTATAGAGCAGTAGCCGAGGGCTCTTCCACCCGATGGCACCCTGGTGCCGAGGGCTCACAATGCCGAGGGCTACTGTTTTCGCCGTTTTCTCCCAGTTTCTTAATTTGCTTGAGAAACCCGTTCTGTGAGAATTTGGAGCCTTCGGCCAGGGGGCCGAAGGCACCCCTGGCGCGTAGTGCGGACTGCTTGGTACTCTGGGCGCTGTGATTTGGGCCTGTTGGGCCTTTTGGGCCTGTTGGGCCTTCGCTGGAGTAGTAGGAGTCTGTGGGCCGGGGGTTCCCGGGCCATATACTCCATCAGGAGTCCCTCACTCCTTTTTCCGAAAGGTACTTGAGGGAAAAGGAGTAATTTGTGCTTGCCCCTTGATGTTGTCCCGTCGTGATCTCTGAAGTTGGTGAGGAGTTGTTGCTTTTATGTCCCTGCCGAAGGCAGTCCCTCAGTTACCCACATGTCGGGACTTGAGGGCTTGCTCTGTTGTTTGTTGGAATTTCTACATCTTTTGTAATTTAATGATTTTCCCGAGGGGGTCCTCCAGTCCCCCACTCCTTGAGGCACTTGTAAAGTGGTGAAAAGGAGTAGAGTAGTTGCGTTGCTGTTGTGGGCCGAAGGCTGTCGTCTTTCGTTTCATTTTGGGGGGATGCCTCGTTAAAAACCTCATTAGGAAAAAACCCTTTGGGAAAAAATCCTAATGAGGGAAAAAGAGTGCACCGAATTCCCCCAATGATGAATCGAAAATGTCAAACCTTGGTAAAAAATGGAGAATGACGGGAATGCCGAAGGCTCTCTCTTCTGAGGGCTCCTGTGTTGATTAGCCGAAGGCTTGCTGTTGATGTCCTGGTGGCGCCGAAGGGGAGCCCCTCCATTCGGGGATCGAGGGCCTGTTGGATGAGGGCGGTAATGGAGTTGTTACCGGGGGGTCCACTGCTTGTTGATTAGTTGGTGGTGAAGATACCTGAGGGCTCCCATTACCTGGGTGCCATGGGTCATCCGTCAATGAGGCAACTCCCCGGGGGCTACCCCGGTTTTGCAGTGCTGAGGGGGAATCCCCGAGGGGTGCCCTGATATGAAGCCCTGGGTTTTTGAAGGAGTGATCCCGAAGGCGTCTGTTATGTGCTGTGTGGGGCACAACCCGGGGGCACTTCTGAGTGAGTGTACCCGGAGGCTATCCTTGATGAAGTGGAGTGAAGTAGAAAACCCGGGGGCTTCCAGAATATAGCCGTTGGAAATATAGCCGTTGGAATATGTAACGACAGGATATAGCCGTTGGGGGGGTGGCACACGTGGCGTGTGATGGCTGGCTGTTCGCGGGCGGCGTCACCGGTTGGGTGAAACGACGGTGTGTAATGATGACGGTCCGTCCGGAGGCCCGGTTTCCGGGCCCAAGCCCGGATTCCAGCGCCTATAAATACCCCAAGGCCAGAGCCATTTCCCCTTGTGCGATCATTTGTCTTAGCGAAGCTCTGCCCAAAATTCTAGTGAGAGAAACTCAAGCCTTCGGTCACAACTTCTGCTTTCAAGGTCAGTGCCCGCTTTCCCTTCACCTCTTAGCTACCTGTACTGTGCCCTTAGGTTAGGAGATAGAAAATTTAGAAAACACTAGCGTCTACGAGCCTTCGAACTAGAGTCAGCATGTCGTCCCAGAGTGATTCCCTGGATATCTCGGGGGAGCCTTCGGTAGAGATGGAGACATGCTCAGATGTGGAGTCTTCGAGTGTGGAGTCCTCGGCAGGTGGTGATGCCGCAGTGGCCATGGAAGTGGAGAAGGACCTTCAGGCCGAAGTCGAAGCCGAGGGCTTCGAGCAAGAAAACGAGGATGAAGAGCTTGCCCTCGCCGTGCAAACCGCCGAGCAGGAAGAGGAGAGGGAGAGGCTGAAGGTGACGGTTGCCATTCCTCCCCCCCGGGGTGCCGGGGAAGCCAGCTCCTCCCGGCCATTGGACCCGACGCCCATAAGTGTGGCTCCCGGGAAGAAACACAAGACGAAGGCGGCCCCGAGGAAGAAGCAAGCGGCAGTGGATGTCGGGCTGCCAGTGGGCATACCCGAGGGCCATTCATTCTTGAATACTGCCGCTCTAGAGCTGAAGACGAAGGCGTCCCCGGCAGAATACCAGTCCACCCAGATGCTGGTTGGACCTTCGGCACGCGTGGTGGAGCCCAGGGCGGATGATTTGCTGCGATACGCGCCCGAGGGGTGCTTTGCTGCTCACACCCTCTCGGTGGAGATGGGGCTCCGGTTCCCGCTCCATCCTTTTCTCTTGGAGTATCTGAGATTTGTGGGGTTGGCCCCTTGCCAGCTAACGCCCAACAGCCACTCCTATGTGGCCGGCTTCCTCTCCTTGTGTCAGAGCCGGGGGGTCGAGCCCACACTCGATCAATTCTTCATGTCCTTCAACCTTTGCCGGGGGGGACATTCAAATGCTGAGGGCTTTGCCAACCTTCAGCAGGTACTGGAGTTCCGGCTTTTTGATGATGTGCCCTCGTCTCACAAGGGGTGGAAAGAGAGGTTCTGCTATATCCGCCTCGAGGAGAATCCCTTCCCGGCCCAGCTCCGTAATAGCTTCCGGCGCCACCCGAAGGTGGGGAGCGCAACTTTGGAGAAGAATGGCAAAGTGCTTGCCAAGAAGCCGGAGGGGTCTGACAAGCATGTCAAGATCAGAGAAGTCACCCTTCCGGAGGATTTGCTTAGCCTAGGCTTCCGGCAGTTCAGGCCGAGGGGCTCTTCGGATGAGAGATACCCTCCCCTCGATAGGGTCTTCGAAGGCGCCAGAGGTGATCACCGAATTGTTCACTGATGCGTTGATAGTTCTCTCTTATTCCGCTTTTTTTTATGACGTAGTAACTGGTAGCCTTCGATCTAACCCTCCTGTTTTTTTTTGTTGCTTGCAGGTAACAATATGGACGTTGGTTCCCTCTTCGCTTTGAAAAACGCGAAAGGAAAGAAGAAGGCCCCGGCGGGCGCTTCTGCCAGGGAGGGGCCCTCTCAAACTGCTGGCGCTGCTGCTGGCGCCGGAGGGTCCAAGGGTGCTGGGCTCGTCAAAAAGAAGATTGCTGGAAAGGGGACCAAGCCCCCGGCCAAGAAGCCGAAGACCACCGCCCCTACCAAACAACCGATCACCGATGTGGTGGTGATTGTGGACGAAGGGCACGCTTCTGCCTCCACCCCCCAGGAACAAATCAATCAGGAGTTCTTTGGGCGGGAGAGGTTGGAGGCGTTAGTACCGAAGGGGGCCTCCGTGTTGGAGGGCAGTTTGAACCCTTCGGCTCTGATGAGCCAGATGCTGCCGTCGGCCGACCGACTGGCCCTTGCCCGGCTGGACGAGGGATCCCTCGAGGCGAAGGTCCTCCTGAATGCTGCCTCCGTAAGTCACCCTCCCTTCTTTGCTCATTGTTATGTTTTCCTTCTGTACTATGTTCATTATGCCTTATTCTTGCCTTCGTGAATTGCAGACTTTTATGGGCCTCTGCGAGCACCTCCGAAGGGTGGATCAAATGAGGGAGGCCAAGGGTTCCGCCAAGGGGGAGGCCGCCCTCCTCAGGAAGAAGCTTGCTGAAGCCGAGGACTCTCTCCGACTGGCCACCGACGGCATGGAGCAGAGGGTGCAGGCTGCAAGGGCCGAAGGGGTCAATGAGGGGCTAGCCAGGGAGGCCGCCGCCGAGGCCGCCCGTATTGCTGCCGATGAAGCCCGCGCGGCTCAAGAAGAGGCCGTCTCCAAGGCCCGAGAGGATGCGGTGACCAGCTTCACGGCCGAAGGGTGGAAGGCCGAAGACCGGAGGGAGTGGCTCGCTTCGGTGGTGGGGGCTTCAGTAGACGAGTGGGTCGGGGGCCCCGGAAAGATGTGGCTTGCTGAGAGGGGCGACTCGTACTACCAAGGCGGGGAGTTCTTCACCCAACGCCTCATCTACCGGAAGCTTGCGAAGCACTTTCAGGTGGCACCGGAGGAGTTCCGTCCCGAGGCTTATGCCCCCCCCCCCCAGCCAGCCAGATGTCAGGATCCCGCTCCCCGAGGGGGAAGAGAGACCGGTTCTTGAAGACTCGGAGACCCTCCGGGAGTGCGGCCTTGGCGGTGAAGAGGATGAAGCCGAGAGCGAGGCGATATCTACAGTTCCCCCTTCTTAAATTGTGTTCCCCCCTTTTGGTGTTGTAATTGTTGGCCTCGGCCCCCTTTGTAAAGCACAATCAAACTTCTCTTTTTTTTTTGAATGAATGAGTACATATGCCCTCGGGCCTTTGATATACAATCTGCTTCCTTTGGATTTGTTCATTGTCGAATACATGCCTTCGTCTTGCTTTGGATGTATGCCTTGATCCTTTGAATGTATGTTTTAGGACTTAGAATATTTTCTGATTGTAGCTTGCCCCTGGAAGCCTTCGGTAGTTGGGCACCCTCTGCTGGATATGCAACCGAGGGTTCTGTAGGAATTAGGACTTAGAAAAATTTTCTAAGTGTAGCACACCTTAGGGCCTTCGGGTGTTTGCAGTAACCCAATTCCTAGGACTTAGAAAAATTTCTAAGTGTAGATTTTCCCTTGGGAGCCTTCGGGAGATGGTATCCCTTTATGATGTGTGAATATTGGACCGAGGGCCCAATGTACAAGACTTAGAATTTTTTTGCAAGCGTAGTATGTCACGTAGCCTTCGGCTACTGTGAAGCCCCAACTGGAATATTGATTAGGCCGGGGGCCAATTCTTTAGGCCTTAGAAAAATTTCTTCAGTGTAGTTTTTCCCTTGGGAGCCTTCGGGAGATGGCATCCCTTCTTGATGTATAGCAGTTGATCGGGGGGGAAAATATGTAGGTCTTAGAAAATATTCTAAGTGTAGATTTTCCCTAGGGAGCCTTCGGGAGATGGCATCCCTTCTGATTCCACATCACTTTGCGAGGTGCCCGGGGGCTGCTCATTCAGGACTTAGAATATTTTCTAAGCATACCTTGATGTTGAATCATGTTGTTGTGAAGAAAGCCAATGAGGAGTGTGTGCCCTCGGCATACACTTTAAAAGTTGTAGAATTTGACCCTTGTCATGGGGAAAGGGCCCTCGGTACTAGTGCGTGACAGATGCCTTTGGTATATGTTTGAAGGTACCGTCTTAGTGTACTTTGGATAGTTCAGTCCCTTTGTATTGTTGAAGCCTTCGGTGTTTGTGTGACCGGAGGTGACCAGGCAGTGGACTTAGCTGTTCCTTGCTGCTATTTGTTCGAGTAGTATCCTTCGGGAAATAGGAGCCTTCAGTTACCGGAGGTGTTCCCGTAGGGAGCCCTCGGCTTGTTGTGATCTGTTGGAGTGTACTCTTTGATTTCTCGCTGAGTCTACTCCCCTTCACCCCCTTTGTTTTTTTTTGGTTGGTGGTGAAGGGAAGGCATCAAGAAACTTGGTTTCTTGGTAAGGATGGGCCTATTAGGAGACCATCAGAATACACCAATGGCTCTCCTCCCTCGGGTTAACCTTCCGAGTTCCGAGGGGATCGAGGGACGTTTCCTGGGCACAAGATATGGTGGTCCGTAACCTGCCTCCCCTTGGGGGATGGCGCGGAAAGCGCCTCATTTTTGAAAGTCGTCCCCTCGGCGCTAGACATAGTCCGTGGCCTGCCACACCCTTGGGGTGGTGGCGCGGGGAGCGTTTCGGTTTGGAAGTCGAATCCTGGGCATTTCTCGTGCCTGTCACACCCTTGGGGTGATGACGCGGATAGCGTTCCGTTTTTGAAAGTCGAATCCTGGGCATTTCTCATGCCTGTCATACCCTGGGGGTAATGACGCGAAAAGCGTTTCAAAGAAGGGTTTTCATTTGCACACTAGTTGCAAATGGCCGGGGGCACTACGTGCCGCCGGCACCGATGGTGGCGCCTTCGGTATATGCGTCCTCGTGGGGTACGGCTTTTAGAAACAACACTTGGTGTTAGTTTCGATGTGTAGCCCCCGGTACTTGGTACCGAGGGGTCTTCTGTAGGAACACTTGGTGTTCTCTTTTGTTGTAGTTGATGTAGGCGTCTACCCTCGGTACTTGGTACCGAAGGGGCTCCAAATGAAACACTTGGTGTTTCCCCACAGATGTTTGGAAGTTGATAGGAGAGCATATCCCTGGCACTGGGTGCCGAGGGGTCTTCTTTGAAACATTTGGTGTTTTTTCTTCGTTTCGATGTTTGATGATGGAGGTGTACCCTCGGTACTGGGTGCCAAAGGGTCTTCTATAGGAACACTTGGTGTTCTCATCTTTTTCTTTTTTGATGTTGAAGGGGGGATGTACCCTCGGCACTGGGTGCCGAAGGGAAATGAATTACATGGCGTTCTTTGTTGTTGGTGATAGGAGTTCCCTCCCTCGGTACTTGGTACCGAGGGGTCTTGAGAGAAAACATGTGGTGTTTTCACTGTTGTTGTAGGTGTTGATGGTGTCCGCCCTCGGCACTTGGTGCCGGAGGGGGTTCCTCTCGTGGTGAGGCCGGGGGCCTGTAGTCAGTATGAGGGCTTGATGTCTTGAATGTATCTTCATTCTTCGAAATTGGAGGCCTTGGGCCATAGGATAGTACATTCACTGGTTATGAGGGCTTGGCCGCTCTTACATTATTGATAAAACTTAACTAAATGGTGTACATTCCAATGCCTAGGGACTTCTTTCCCGTTGGGGCGTTTGAGCTTGTAGGTCACAGGTTTGATGATGGCTGCTATGATGTAGGGGCCTTCGAATTTTGGTGCCATTTTTCCTCCCTCGGTTGGTTGGCTGGCTTCCCTCCTCCGGAGGACATAGTCCCCCACTTGAAATTCTCGGGTGCGAACTTTGGCGTCGATGTAGCTTTTAACTTGCCTTCGGTAGTTTTCTGCCCAGATGAAGGCCTGCTCCCGGCGTTCTGAAATGAGGTGGAGGTCGAGGGCCATGTTGCTGTCGTTGACCTCGGGGTCATATTGGATCACCCTTCGGGTGGGAAGGGTGACTGCCGTAGGAGCTTTGGCTTCAAAACCGTAGCAGAGGGAGAAGGGTGTTTCACCTGTTGCTCGCCGAGGGGTGGTGCGATAGGCCCAAAGGATGTTGTGGAGTTCTTCCACCCAGCCACCGCCCTCGGCCTCTAGCTTCTTTTTGAGGCCATCGAGCAAGGTCCGGTTGGCATTCTCTACTTGCCTGTTGCCTTGAGGGTAGGCAACGGAGGAGAAGGTGTGTTTGATGCCCCATGCCTCCAGAAGGGCACAGAAGGGGGCTGCCTCAAATTGTGTCCCATTGTCGGAGATGATCTGCTAGGGGACGCCAAACCTTGTGAGGATGTTCTTGAGGACGAAGTGACGGCACTTCGCCTCTGTGATGCTGGCGAGGGGTTCAGCCTCTACCCACTTGGTAAAGTAGTCAACGGCCACGATGATGTATCTGTTGTTGGAGGTACCCCTCGGCAGAGGGCCCACAAGGTCTATCCCCCATCGAGAAAAGGGGACAGAGGTGCTGATGGGGGCATAGTTGACCGCTGGCCTGCCGGGAGTTTTCTGGAAATGTTGACATGCGGTGCACCTCCGGGCAAGGTCAGCACAATCCCTGGCCATGGTTGGCCAGAAGTAGCCCTGGAGAATGAGCCTTCGGGACATGGAGAAGGGTCCCTGGTGAGCTGAGCAAGTGCCACTGTGCACTTCCTCCATTGCGACCTCGGCTTCATCTGGATGAAGGCACCGAAGTAGCGTGCCATTGTAAGATCGTTTGTAGAGCCTTCCATCTTCGATGGTGTAGCTGGGAGCCCTCAGCTTTGCTAGTTTAGTGCGGGCCTCATTTTCGGGTAGCTGCCCTGTGGAGATGAAGGCGGTGATATCTGAGATCCAATCCTCCTGACGTTGTTGTATGTTCATAACGGGGCTTGCATGGATGCTTGAGAGGCTGAGTTCCTCAATTTTGGCAATTTTGGAGATGTGCTCGGGGGAGTCGGCCGAGAGCTTAGATAATATGTCGGCCTCGGAGTTCTGAGCCCTCGGTATTTGAGTGAGAGAGTGTGCCTCAAATACCTTAAGCAACTCTTTGGCCGCTTCCTTGTACTGTTTCATTCTCCCCTCCTTGGCCTCATATTCTTCGGAGATTTGGCCAACGACCAACTTGGAGTCGCATTTGATGTGGATCTGCCGAGCCCTCATGTTGGAAGCCAGCCGAAGGCCACATAGGAGGGCCTCATATTCGGCCTCGTTGTTGGAGACTTTGAAGGAGAAGCGGATTGCATAGTAGGTTCTGAAGCCCTCGGGAGTAATGAGGACTACCCCTCCCCCGCATGCTTTGGTCGCGGAGGAGCCGTCGGTGTAGAGGGTCCACCAGTCGTCCGAGGTAGCCGAGGGCTCCCCGTCCGTGGCTGCCCTTGCGGTACACTCCGTCACGAAGTCCGCCAGGGCTTGGCCTTTGATGGCAGGCCTTGGACGGATGTCAATGTTGTACTGGCTCAAGAAGATAGCCCACTTCACCATGTGGGAGGAGCTGGTGGGGCTCCTCATGAGGGCGCCGAGGGGTTGGTGAGTGAGGACCTGAACCGGGTGAGCCTGAAAGTAGTGGCCCAAC